TACATACATCTCAATGCAATACATCGAAACACAGGATGTAGGTATTACGTCATACTGACAGTCGAACCTGTCTAAATCTTGTGTATCGGTGCTTGTATTACCATCTAGTTCGTATCATGCGCACCCCACTGATTCATCTACTACCATGGGTATACCCCTCGTTAGACTGCCAACCAGATTTCGTCGACAGTGGCGCCCACCGTGGGGTGTGTGCGTGCTGATCCCTGGTGAACCAGATGGCCAACCTCAAGACCAACAACGTCGGCGGCGACTCAGCGTCTCTCGACATCTTGAATCGAGATATCCTTCCGTTGTTAATGATCTCAGACTTAGCGTCCCAAAACATCTCGTGGTTGTATGGCAGGTTGAGCTGAGATCATCACCATGCAGCTCCAATCTCCAACTCGTCTGTTGTCGCCCTCTCAAAATCAATTTGCTACGCACGTGGATCATGACATCCAGACTGATTGAATAAACAAGCAAGGGACAAACGTATCTACAAGACATGCAGAAGTCAGGCTTCCGTGCATATACGCGTGCATTATGGATTGGAATTCTAGCAGATCGGTCGATAGTCCGCCTCGATCTAATCCGGCTCTGACTCATCTCTGACCAAGTTCAACTATGGCTCTCCCAAGAGTAGCAGCCACCGCCGTTTCAACTCAAACACGAGATCAACCTCGTCCGACTATAGCCAGCCACTAAGCAAACCTCTAAGCGAGCCCCTTGGACTACTTACTCCGACTACCTGCCGCGTCGCAATGATGATCGCCGTGAAGAATGACACCGAGACAACCGTGACCGCTGCCATGACGATAGTTCAGAAAGCTCGAGGGCTGGGCAATTTCATTAACGCTGACTAGATAACGCCATACGCCACCGACCAGATGTTCTGTCTAAAGCTAAGTCATGCTTTAATATTTTTCTAAATATTCTCCAATCTTCGTATATCGCCATAATGTTTCTCCGAGCTGTTTTCTCCATGTTTGCTCTCCAAATGATTTTCTTTCATGTACACCATCTTAAAGATGACATACCACTAAGTCTAATGCGAACCCCTGAATAGTCATGTTGACGCTCAGATGTCCCCAGAGACGGCCCTGTCTTCGGCTCCTCTCTACACATGCACGAGCGTCTGCCCTCTTCGTTATGGGTGGTCGGCAGCGGCTCCTTAGCGATGCTTTGTTCTTCCTATACGCACATGGGCTCCGTGCTCCGCGTTATGGTTAACGGGCTAGCTAGGGCTGGAGACTCAACTACACACTAACTGGTTGGGCGGTTTATATTAAATATAAATACATCTTCATAATAACACTAAGTATTCACACCAACTGATCACCGAGCTGCATACGCTATTTCAACACCATTGCTGATTCTTCTCCGGAGTTCATATATTTTACGTCATGTACTACCCGTTCTACATATTTGTATTGCAGGATCATCGTCCAGGTGATCGGACCACCTGGTGCTCGGACTTCTCCACCGATCAACTGGTCAAACCGCTAGGTTCATGGACTTCGTCGCCGACTAGTTGATCGGACTCTTCGCCGGTTGCTTCTACTCAATGCTCACTTCACCGCCGACCAGTTGATTGGACTGTTCATCGCTCGTGCTCGGACATCGCCAGCTACGCCGAGGACTCCTCGGTGCTCGGACATCGCCAGCTACTCCGGGGACTCGGCCACCCCCTCCAACCGGGCCACATAGAGCCGGACCTAACTTTGCCGCTCGCGTAACATGCCACACGTCGAGGCTATCAATGACCACCGCCGACGGCTTTGGCATCCACCGTGGTCGCCGCCGACCTTGCCGCCAGTAACCACGAGGTACGTGCCCCCACCACCGCGGGTGCCGCCCTTGCCCTACGGGCGCCGGATCCAGCCGCTAGGCTATGAACTCGGTGCCCCATGCTGACGCCGCTGCCTCTGTCTTGACCATCGCCGCGGGCACTGTACTTAGTAGATCGCCAGCAACCACCGTTGGCAAGTAGGTCCGGCCGGCTGCCATCCCAACCGCAGTCAGGTAGGTTTGGTCGGCCGCCGCAACGCGGCCACGCCTAGGTCGCCAGACCGGCCACCGCGGGTAGGCTAGCCCGACAGGTCGCCGCCGCCACAACCAAGGCTGTGAGGGGAGGGAGCAGGCAGAGGAGAGAAAAGGGAGGCCTACCGCAGCACCCTATGGACTTCATGCGACCGCCGCCGGCAGCCACGCCTCCTGGCCGGGGCAAGCCAAATGTAGCTGCCAGGGGCCTATATCCGGCCGCCTGGGAAGTGGATCGGTGGCCCCGACCGGCGGCGCTGCCACCGTCAAGACCTAGAGGAGGGAACGCACAGAGGAGAAGAGAAGAGAGCCCTGTAGCCATCCCTTGTGCCAGCTCAGGCACCAGTCGGCGCGGCTGCAGCCACGACAGCCCTCCCCGCCGAGCTCCACATAGCTCGCACTGGGAGGGATCGCCGGCCCACTGCTGCGCGTGCCGCCGCACTCGAGGGAGAAGCCTACCGCTGCCATCCTAGCCGCCCGAGCGGCCATGCCAGCGGCGGCACGACAGGGGAGGGGGAGGGAGAAGGGGGTTGCGCTTAGGTTCAGGGGGCCTCTAGTGTTGCCTGCGTGGGAGCGACACGGGGGTGAGGTTATGTGTTTTTGCTTAATTACCAATCTAATGATATTTGTTACATATCAGAAAATAAGTTGTTTTATATATACTTAGACAAGCTTAAGAATATTTAATGAAACACTCTGACAAACAAGATATGTACTTATTTTGAGACCGATGAAGACGGGCGGAGTATGTATACTTGTTCATATGAATGACAATGATATTTAAGGATATTTCACCCTTTGAGACCAAGGAGTATGTATACAGGCTTGCATGAATGTTAAGGATGGACATGGGATCCATACGCCGCTAAAAGTGTACATTAGAAGATTTTCTTGACAAAATTAAGAATGGGCATCAAGTTGTGCATAGACAAAGATGCACGTATATATGCGCATCAGATCCTGTAGAAACCCCGTCCGAGGAGCGTGATAGTGAGTGGCACAAGGTCGACTCTTGCATCGTCAACTGGATCTTCACCATTGTCTCCAAGGGCGTCTTCAACAATGTTCATCGGTCGTGTCTCACCGCCTTCTCCCTGTGGCACGCCATCGAGGGCTGCTTCCTCGACAACGAAGCTACAACGCGCGGTCTACCTCGAGGCCGAACTGTGTTCCATGTAGCAAGGCGACCTCTCGATCAACGACTACTGCACCAAGCTCAAGCGCCCATGGATCAGCTTCGCAACATCGTCCACCCTGTCTCCAAGCCAAGCCAGGTGTTGAATCTCCTTCATGGCCTCAACCCTCATTACCGCAACGTCAAGTTGGTCATCACCTCCAAGTTTCGGCTGCACACATTCATTAGCACGCGCTCCTTCCTCATCTTGGAGGATATCAGCCCATAACGATACTAACGTCGAAGTCGGGCAAGCTCTCGCTGCCACACATGGTGATCGATTGAGCGGTTCTTCTGGAACCACTCACGTGTCCTCCAACGACGGGTCCTCGGCCTCCAGCGCGCCCCACGCCAACCGCTCCAACAACAACGGCGGCCGCGTGTTGGAGGTCGAAGACCCATCATTGGAGGACGTGCGAGTGGTGCTGGAAGAACTGCTCAACCGATCACCATGTGTGGTGGCGTGAGCTTGCCCGACTTCGACGTTAGTATCGTGCTAGGCGCTGAGATCCTCCAAGATGAGGAAGGAGCGCGCACTAATGAATGTGTGCGGCGGGAACTTGGAGGTGATGACCAACTTGACGTAGCGGTAACGAGGGTTGAGGCCGCAGAGGAGATACATCACCTAGCTCGGCTCGGAGACGGGTGGCGGATGTCGCGAAGTGGATCGGCGAGGCGCTTGAGCTTGGTGCAGTATATCGAGAGGTCACCTTGCTATGTGGAATGCAGTTCGGCCTCGAGGCAGACCGCGCGCTGTAGCTCGTTGTTAAGGAAGAGGCCCTCAATGGTGTACCACAAGGAGAAGGTGGTGAGGCGCGATCGACGAAATGTCGAAGACGGCCTTGGAGACAGTGATGAAGATCCAGTTGACGATGCTGGAGTCGACCATGCACCACTCGCCGTCACGCTCCACAGACGGGGTCGGCGACGGAACGTGACTCTCGAGACCGAACTCACTGAGTGCAGAGTCGAAGAAGCAGCGCCACTGGCCATAATTGGCCTCGTCGGTGTCCAGCGTGACGGGGACATGGGAGCAGATGGAGACCACCTAGAGGACGGCGGAAGAGGCTGGGTCGACGGAGAGTTCGTCGGAGGAGGAAGCAACAGAGTGCGAGGGAGACAGCGCCATTGATGCGGAAGCGGTGGCGAAAGGATTGATGAGATGAACCTTGGACGATGATACTGCTTAGAAATATGTAGAAAGGAATATTGATCGACCAAATTGTATTGATCTCAGGTGTTTTACATATAGATTATACAACAGTGGCCAGAGGCCACACATAGACAGGCGAGTACGCGGGCGAGCGCGCCCTGCAGGAGCGTGGGCACTGTGGAGACCGCGCGGGCAGGCGCTCGAGTACGCGGGAGAGCGCGCCCTGCGGGAGCGTGGGCGCCGCGGCGTGCGCGAAGGGCGCTGGACCTGGCATGCGCTTGACTGAAGACCGGAGAGCTCTAGCCATTGGAGGCGTTCCGCTGACAGATCCAACAGAGGCACGTTGTTGCGCATGCCGTATGCGCAGTTGCTGCCTGCCTAACTGCCTATTGGTGATTGTGTGAGGCAGTTCTAGCGTGCGCACGTTCAAATTGAAATGATGTTGCAAATACAAAAACCAAAAAAGTTTTGAGTTTGTATTATTGTATATATGAACTTCAGGGAAAAGTGGAGATCCGTCGCGTCTCTTTATTTATTGTAGTTCTTTTATAACGTTTTTTTCTTTTTGTAGTTGGATGCTACTTTTACATGAGAAGCACAACGCCGGCCAGGTCACCTCCGATCCAGTGGCCATCAGCTACTAGAACGGCGTCTCCGTGGAACGCCGGTGCCCTCCTCCCCCATCTTGCCGACGTCGTTGAACGCCTGCCCCGTCATCTGGTCCACCGCCTTCACCCGCAGCATCACGTCCTCCTCCTCCGACTCGGCGTCGCCCGCCTTATTATCTGTGGTCCTGTCCGCCGCCGCGTCCCTGACGCCACGCGCCTTGTCCGCGGCGGCGTCCATGGCGCCCCGCGCTCTGACCGCCGCCACGTCCTTCGTCTCGCCGGCCTTGCCCATGGCAGCTTCCGCCGCGCCCCTGGCCTCCTCGCGGACTTGGTCCCGCCTCGGCGCGTGGAGCTCGTCGGCCGCCTTCTGCGCCGCGGACTGCGCGCGCTCCTCGTGGCTCTTCTGCATGGACGCCATGGCTCTTCTAGCTGACAATAACCTGGCACACTATCTACCCGATCGATGGTGATGCCGCTGGTGCACTCTCTTGTTCTTGCTTGCTTGAGCGAGTGGTCAGTGGATGAACACAGTGCGGCGCGAGGTGGGACCGTGGGAGGTAAAAAGGGCGGCGAGAAATCTCCAGAGAGGGTAGGGTGTCGCGGTGGCGGGTGCCGGTCGCCAGCGTCGCACTGCACGCCGCGTGTGAAAGCTGTAGGATACGTACACGTTGGGTTCATGCCCCAAGAAGCTAAGCAAAATTTTGTCGATGGCCAAACTTGAATACTCCGTATATTTGGATCCTTTTATTTTTTAAATTGAAATCTACTTCGTATGTACTAGACTAGCCTATTTAGCTTGATATCTCACAATTTTCCTAAGTTTAAATATAAGACTATCTTAAATTCATAGGTTGGAGATGAAAATTAATTATATAAATCACCAAGCTATATTTCTACTCTCCAACTTACACTAGAAATGCAACATATAAGTATCTCTCTTGCATGGCTAATAATTATATACAAATACACTAGTACACAAAGCTTTATGGAGGTAGGCAGTTTTGATTTATGGGGCGGGCATTGCAACCGCCTATAATCAAAGGTCACCATTAATGGAGACTTTGGAGGCTGTTGTTTTGCCCGCCTCCGTAAATCAAACGAAAGAAAAACCCGTGGACAGGCCTGCCGAGCCCATCCACGGGCCCCGTCGTCGCAGCCGCTTGCCGGAACCTGGACCACGCGCACTGCCGGGATCTGGCCTCCCACCATTGGATCGATCCACCCGCCGTCGCATCTAGAGGTGGAGGGGAGGGAGAGTGGCCCACCGCCGAGATCCGACCGCCCTCCGTCGGGCTCCATGCCTTCTTGCCGGATCTGACCCGTCGCGGTTGCCGTCGCGGAGAGGCCTACTCAAAGCCTTCTCGCAGTTGCCGTCGTCGTCGTTGTTGCCGGATCTGGCCCGTCGTGGCCTGCTCGAAGCCTCCAGCCTCCGCGCCATTGCTCGGAGCAAGGCGCGAGTCTGCGTCGAGGCCGCCCGCGTCTGCACCATCGGGGCTGGCCGCTCGTGTCAGCCGGGGTAGAGAGAGAGGAAGAGAGAGATGGGGCAGAGAAGGATGCTCATCGCAGAGAAAGGGAGGAGGGAGTGTCGACACAGAGGGAGGGAGAGGCAATTGAGGAGGGAGACATGAGAAAGAGTTGGAGAGATAAGTGAAACCCTAACTCATGTATATATAAGCCCGATAGGTGGATTGGATATGGGCTTTTGCTGGGCCTCATGTATATTTTCCCAGGCGGGTCTATTAGGAAGCCCGCCTCCGCAAATCTATTTTAGGAGACGGTTATTTTTTGACCATATCCGTAAATCGATTTTACGAGACGGGCAATTTTAACCGCCTCCGTTAATGGAAACGATGTTAATAGTCTGACATTTTACGAGGTGGTTGGATTGTGTGACTGCCTCGCTTAACAAAAGGCCACCGCCTCGCAAAATCATTTTTGTAGTAGTAATATATTTTATATATAACTATATTAGCTTAATTAATCTATACCTAAATTATAATTTTTAGAATAAATTTAATTTCAAGGATCCAAACACGGAGATTTTTGGATTAGAACAGGCCAAAATTTGACCACCACTCGTAAATAGGTGTTTGAATAATGATCAAGTCAAAGTTTTACATCAAAATAATGGCAAGGCCAAACGACAAAGATTTTGGGGGACAAATGTGTTAGGGACTGAGGCAAAGAAGCTAAGAATAGGTGTGATCAAGGGTAGGGTGCTCCGCTAAACTCTATGCCAGGTGAAGACTAATACCCTATTTGTTTCACCTTTTATCTAGCTTCTATCAGCCGGAAGCTGAAACAAACAGCCCAGTATATATTGAGTTGGCTTTTGAAAAGCTAGAAAGTTGGTTTTTGAGGAATGAACTGAAAGCTAAAAAGCACATTACGAGGAGTTTTTCTGGCTTTTTTGTGTGCGGAGAAGCTAAAAATTTATTACGAAAGCTAATAGCAAAAAAAAAACTAATAGCCATAATTCAAAAGCCAGTTTTTTAGCCAAAAGCCCAAAGTTGCGGCTCAAACAAACAGGCCCTAAGTGCGGTTGAATTGTGTTTTCACGAATAGTCCGTTACGAAGTGACAGACAGTCCATCGAGACATGTGACGATTGAATTGTGTTTTCACGAATAGTCCGTTACGAAGTGACAGACAGTCCATCGAGACATGTGACGAAAACATAGCCTCTGCATAGATACATGCTCCGTCGGGTCAGGGTATTGTGTAGTTAGGGCTGTCTCCACAGTGGTCCGATCGCTCAGATCTTAGAGAGTTCATCGGGCCCCAATGGACAGACCGTCGAACTAGACTGGCTATGGGTTAAGTCAAAACAGTCCATGGTGACCTAACGTGGCATGTGACGTTCCGTTGATCCGGCAATCAGTCTGCCATGACGGCACGAACAGCCAATCGAGCATCGACGGAAACTATATTGGTGTGGATACTTAGGTGTTCATAAGTGCTAGGGTCTGGGATTTGTAGAAGTTGTTCTAAGGGTGTTGTGGGACTTAGTAGGGGTGCTTGTGCAGGACTTATGTGTAAGAAAAACTAGAGGCCAAGGCTCTATGCATACAGAGGTATGTGCTCTTACACTATGTTTGTGTAACACTCGATTTTAAGAACAAAACCAGATACACACTATATTAGAACCTAGGAACTCAAATCTCACATATAACCATAAATAAGGGTAATATCAATAGACAATGCTTAAATACATAACGTATTAGTATAAAGAATATAACCTTAGAGTATAGACAGCGGAAAGACAACTCCGATCTTCAGGCGGAGACTCCAACTCCACAGGGACAACTGACTGGTTGACCACAAGCCTAACTCCTCTAAACTAACAATCTGGTACTCATCCAGAATTTTTATCCAAAGTATAGAAAAGTAAAGCAAGTGTAAGTACATATCGTACTCAGCAAAATAACATGGGGTTCATGAGGCTCAAAAAGGTTGACACTGGTTTACTGCGATTAGCTTTTGATTATCACAATTTTAGCAATTGGTTGGCAACAGGTTTATCCATAAGCCCATAAACACATGATTATGTAAACATGAATAATGAATAGCATAAACAATTAATCATTAGAACAATTATCCATTAGTGATCATCTCTATTCCATAAAGGTTTCAAGGCCGCTCGTATTTGTGAGCACGGCTGTAATAACAGTTTTACACTCTGCAGAGGTTGTACACTTTCACTGTGAGTCGTGATTTACCCTTTCGTCCGGGGTGATGAACCCATTGACCTACTACCAAGGAAGGACGGCAGGGTTCACTATGAAGCCTTTTAAAGGTTCGTCTAACAAGTTAGGGCCGCTAAGGTTTCAGTCGTTTAGCCGTATGTGGCCCTCCTCTAGAAGTGGCACGCGTGGGCACGCAGCACGGTACACACATCCTAGCAGGAAAGGAAACATACTCTCTTACGCCATAAAGGTAACCACTTACAAGCTAGAAAAAGGTCCTCGTACTGAGCTAAAGCCAGAGCCATATAGCCCTCATAGCTGTACTGTAAGTCCCGGATGATCACTTACAGATAAGTCCTTAGGAAGAGGAATCTGAAGCATTTAGAAAGTAACTAAACACTCCAGCCTCTGTTTCCATGTTGCTAAAAAGTCATGTTTTAATGTTTATTGCATATACCATTAGTCAAGTTAAAAGATCATGGTTTTGGTTATGCACTAGCAAAAACTACCCAATGCAATATCCCAAAGGTATCAAGTTACAAGATATCAAATATCTAGGATATCCTTATTGGCAACAAGGTAGACACATGCAATATGAATTAAGTGATTAAAGGTAAATAGGTAACAAGGATGGTCCCATGCTATACTTGCCTTAAAACACCGATCCTTCGGTAAGCTTTAATCTTCAACGTCCTTCTTCTTCTTCTGGATCACCACGTATTTCTCACCGACTGGACGTAATCGTATAACACCACACAAACATCTATACACATACATGCATAGCATCCAATTGCATCTATATCAGAACAATACACCAATCATAGAAAAATAAGTAAAAGAGTTTCAAATACGATTCTACGCATCGCTACGAACACGCAGTCGCGAGAGGCACGCTAATCGAAGCTACGGTTGAAAATATACATTTATCGGAAGATTTACTTTAAAAACAAAACCACAGACTTCATTTATTTTAATAATTATATAAAACTTGTATAAGATATTTTAGAGAAAATACTTAAGTTGAATTAAGTCAAGCTTATATTTGGTTTTAAAAATCGAAGTGGAATTTATTACATTTTATTTATGAATCTAGTGACATAATTATTATTCAAATTAGGATTTAATCCATGAAATTCCATTAATACTAAAGCGTAGGTCACGTCGTTATGAATCTAACGCAACTTGAACGGACGATTTTGGAGTTAAAATGAATAAGTTATGATTTAAACAAGTTTTCCTTTAGTTAAATAATAGATTAAATCTACACATAAATTTTAAGTATTGAAAACATGCCTAATAGTAGTATAAACACGTACAAAACGTAAATACAGTCCTAACACAATTCGAACGGGTCAAATCAGACTTAAAATGCAAAAGTTACGCATGAAATAAGGTTCAGTGGCATTTCTGTAAATAACTCAAACTCATTTTTGAATTAAAACAATTAAAATCTGAATTTTCAAGGATTTTGGACTGCGCGCACTATTTATGGAAACTGTAGGGACCTAAACGAATAAAAACAGGACTAATTTGTATTTATTTTGAATTAAACCAGAGTTCGGGGTGATTTACCAAAAACAAAGGGGGTTTTCTACAAAATACGCATGGCTTGACTGCGGGTTGACCCCGGGTGCTGACCAGGCCGACACGTGGCACGCGCGGACTGGTGTGGTGCACCACGTGTGCGCGGTGGACCGGTGACGTGGGTGCTGACGCGGCACCATGGGCCGAGTCCACGGCTTGTGGTGGACCGGTTATGATCCAACCGGTGGGATCTAATCCTGACCGTTTAGAGGGATCCGACGGCGCAAGCGTGACGGGTCGACCTTCGGCGGCAGCATAGCGGCTCCGGCGATCCTGCCATTGCCGACGACTAGCCAAGCACGACGGCAGACGTCGGGAGGGTGATTCCAGTCATCCCAAGACACACTGAGCACACCTAATCGATCTATAAGCGCTCGCGAACACGCTGGACTGCAAACCGAGGCAGGGAAACGAGCCAAAGCGCCGTCCTGCGGCGACGCCATGGCCGGCGGCATCTGATGTTCTACGCTACGGCGTTCTAGTGCGCTTTTTGATGAACAGAAGGCATGGGAAGACGGAGGAGCTCACCACGAAGTCGAGGGAATGGAGCGTGGCGTCCAGGACGGGCTCCAGAGGCGGGTCGTCGATGGCGGTGGCGGCTGGAGAGAGAACAACGGCGCGCGGGTGAGGGGAAATCCGATCAAATCGTGACCAAAACCGAGAAATGACGGTGCCTACGGGCGCGGGGGAATACGGCGGAGCTCACGGGTGCGTCAGCGACGAGGTTCGAGGCACGGAAGCGATGGATTGCGGCGGCGACTGGTGAGCGTGAGCACGGACAGAGGAAAGGGAGAAGAAGGGGGGCTCGGCTCGGTGCTTTATAGGAGGGACGGGGCGCTGTAGATGGAAGGAAAGCGGGACGGGGGCGGAATTGGCCGCTTGCCATACGGGCACGGCGCCGGCGACTTGCCTTGCATGGTTGTGCCATCGGCGGGGCGATGGAAGGAAAGGAGCGTGGAAGAAAGGAAGGGAGACGATGGGCGTGCGGGTGGCTGACAGGCGGGACCCGCGTTGCAGCGAGAGGGAGAGAGGAGCGGCGCATGCGGGTGTGGGCGTAGGCGCGCGGGGCAAGCCGAGCAGAGTGGGCCGCCTAGCTGGGCTGCGGGCGCGTGCGGTGTAGGCCGGGCGCGGGAGAAAAGGAGAAAGAAGGGGAGGCGCAGCTGGGCCGCCGGGCAGGCCAAGCCTGGAAGAGAAAAAAAAGAAAGGCCCGGGCTGATTCCTGAGGCTGGGCTGAAAATAAAGAAAGAGAGTTTTTTAAATTCAAAACCTTTTCTATTTCTAATTTTCAATTCTAAGTCAAATTCAAATCAAATTCAAGTATAGTTTCAAATATACTTCCCTATTTAAATAAAAATGGACAATTTTGTTAGACTTTCCAAGATAAACTTTACAAGTTTGAGAATACTTTTATTTTCTAATTTTCTTTTCTTTCTTTTCTTTTATTTCAAAACCATTTTCAAACCCTTTTCAAAAACATTCCAAATTACTTTAGAGTTTTGGATCAACACCACTCATCACGATAAACTTTATGCACCAACATGTATGCACAACAGTTGCTAAACCTTATGATGAATTTTAAATTAATAAAAAAATTTATTTTTCTATATTTCATGTGCACAAAAATTCATAAATAAATCATTTTAGCTCTATCTCAGAAGAGTAAAATTTTAGGGTATTACAGTTTGGATCTTAGAATATGATTGAGAGATATGAGACGATGGACTTATCCATTGGGGTCTTGATTTTGAGTCACCAACCTCAAGCTCGTGTCCTTAACTTCCTCACAGCATGAGGGAGATCTTTGCTATTGGATAGGATGAGGGTAACTATTTGAGAGAGAAACTTCTCCTTCATGCAAGAAAACACAGGCCTTACAGATATGGGGATGAACACAAGAGATTGATTGAGGGGAACCAGAGCTTACACTTGAGATTGGATCAAAGTTCTTGGGCTTATAATCTCCTTCTTCACACATGAGACTGCTCCATTTCTCCATCCATTTTCTTGCCCTTGCTCTCATGCTTGTGTGAGAGAGAGGAGAGTGGTAAGATGGGCAAGCTAGTGTTGGTGGCTTATGGCTCTCCACGAGCTGATAGGGGGCAAGGTGGGTTGGAGAGCGGACAACACAACACTTGCTTGTTGCATATTCACTGGTGTCCTGATGGACAGTCCATCATGACATGGTGAACAATCCGTTGGGTCCTCGTGGACTCTGTCAAGCTGACCAGTCAACATGGTTGACCACTGACTCGGGGACAATCTATTCAGAGATCACGGATAGTCCGTCGAGATACTTAGGGGCCTGTTTGTTTTCTACGGGAGCTACTAAAATTTCTGTCATATCGAATGTTTAGACATATGCATGAAGTATTAAATATAAGCTAATTACGAAACTAATTGCATAACTTGCAATTAATTGGCGAGATGAATCTTTTAAGCCTAATTAGTCCATGATTTGACAACGTGGTGCTACAGTAAACATGTGCTAATGCCAGATTAATTAGGCTTAAAAAAATTGTCTCGCAAATTAGCCTCCATCTATGTAATTGGTTTTGTAATTAATCTATATTTAATGCTCCTTATTAGTATCTAGACATTCGATGTGACATGAATTTTAGGAGCGACTAAAGAACCAAACACCCCCTTAAGACCTTGAATTTTGCCAAACTCTTTAGAGGGATCAACTTAGTGGCACTCCACCTTGTATGATGGGTCACAAGTCCTTGGTGGGATCTCTTATCAAATTTCTATGTTCAGTGCCCGTCATAGGCCTTGTCTTGCACCAATTTAGGTAATTCGAAAAGATTGGGTATAAACACTGAGGAAGGTTCTCCAGGCGTGGGTCGATAAAAATGTGTCCACGGAGATAAACTAGAGAGCATAACTGAACAAGACATTTGATAAGGAAGGTTCTCCTGGGGTTGCACCAGGTCCAAGACTCAAGGCAATAAGGCAGGAGCTCAGTGTTGGCTTCACAAGGAGTTTTCTGCATGGTTGTATTTGTGGTGGTTTTTGGGTCATGACAAATATAAGCATTTTTTATTCTCTATCTATGTGCCATGTTTATCATATTTCTAACGCTTATCCCTGTTAAGTTATTGTTCAGAATGATAAAATATGCGAGCTGTTTGGGTGTGCCAAGGGAAACACAAACGTAAATGAAATGGACCTGCGAACGTTACCGACGGGAATGAATTTGAACTAGCTGGCGAATGAAATTGTTTACGTTTGCGTTACTATACGAAGAACCAAACAGCTCGATGATAAATATAAACCGGAAACGCAACCTTACGAGCCTATATTGATTTGCCAATTGCCATGCATGTTATTCTAACATTGGATCCATGATTAAGAGCGTTCGGAATCTACAAAATGGACGTAGTTCAGATAGTGAAACCTAATCAGGTGGATTTAAGTCTTTGATCGTATTTTTTAAAAAAATTGGTCTCTAAGATTTAACAACATTATTTTCAGTGGTGATTTTATTAATCTCAAGATAAACTTGGTCTTTCAAAAGTCTTCATAGATGTAGGATATATGTACACGTACGTTTATATATATACACGAGCGTCTAAAAAAACGTTGGAATCTCACGTGGATGATGACAGATTTTTATATATATAATTGTAAATAAAAATACTAACATACACACAGCTGGAAAAATAGAAAATAATATGGAACATAGATATAGTAATATGCGTACGAAGTGTGCATGGCTATTCCCGGACCATGCACCTCACATCTGTCCAAGTTCGAGCAGCGACGACAAGTCACTACTTGCACCGTAAGGAGACTCCTCCAGATGCTGAACCCGGCACCTCCGCCCCATGGGAATGGGTCGATAATAGAACAGCTCCGCCTTGCCGGAAGCACGGCCTGCCACAGCCACCTTCCCGTCGTTAATCCTCGGAGCCCGTGAGCACGCCCGCAGAGACGCGAAAACGACCACCAGCCATTTCGCGTTCGTTTGCCGTCCGGGGCCGCCGGCGCCGGCCTCCAACTTCGCGGGCACGATCGTGGTTCGCCGCCGCCGCTCACCGTCGTCGGAGACAGCAGCCACGAAATGGCTTTGTGGAGCAGTGGGGAATAACGGCTCCTGCTCTTTATTCCCCTTCACGGCGCAGGAGGAGATAACCTCGTACGGAGCTGCCGGCGCCGCTTCTCGTGGTTTACCCACCACCAGCTTGCGCTGCTGATGATCTGGGCGGGCGGATGCTGGCGGCGGCGCGCGCGCTTCCATCCTGAGGAGCTGCTCGAGGCTTGGTCGTCTCCTCCTCGCCGCCTCCCGGCGGCGCTCGGCGGCCACCCCGGCCGTGCCGTTGTTGCTGCCTGGCTGTTGTTCGTCGCATGTAGGAATCGCAGCATCACGCGCGCACGACATCGCCCGGAAGACGGCCACGAAAGGCGAGCATATGAACCTCTTGACGTCGTGGCTCCTGGTGGCGGTTGTGGTGGTGGTGGTGGCCGGCCTCGTCGTCGTCGCCTGCTTCCCGCCGTGAAGGAGCCGCCGCAAAGGAGACGAGCCACGAGCAGGGGTGACTGCTGGTGGAGACCATTCGTCGACCAAGAGCGACGCGGAGTCGTCGTTCGATGCCATCGGTGGCTCGCGCACGCGCGCCATCGTCCCTTCTCCGGTATAGTCCAAATGATGCACACGAGGAAGAAGAGCTCGCGCGACTCGTTCTTATATATAGCCGAGACGAGTACCAAAGTGCTGATAAGTGAGCTAGGTTGTTGACTTGTGTTGTGGAGCTTCTGGCGATCGAGTACGAGTAGATAGGCTTCAGTGAGATTTCGATGCATGGGTTGCCGTGGTTCGTTCAACTACCGGCGTACTGAGAGTGACGTCGTTTTGGTTGGTTTGGGGAGGTTCGAAATTGCAGTTTTTCTGATGATGAACGATATGCGTGTGGTATTGGCATATTGCCCGGTGGCCAGAGCAGGAAAACAAGAGCAGGGTTGCATGCATGCCACGCAACCAGTACAAGTCTCCAAAATCTCCCTTTCTTTCATTAGGTGTGCCCAATAAATTTGATAGGTCGTACTCACTCCATCCAAATTACAGTTTGAATTTAATTATTCTAAGTCAAACTTTTTAAATTTTGATCAAATTCATCATCTACAACATTAAATTAATTTCATTAAATTTTCTATAAAGTATATTATATTATGTATTTATTTGAATCTATAGACGTGAATGTATTTTTTTAAAAAACTTAAATGTAGTTTAAAAAAGTTTAACTTAGGACAAAACTGATGATTTTGTTGGCATCTAATTGTTCTCAGATTGGTTTATTCAAGAACTTTTCGAAATATCCCAATGTGGTAAAAGAATCCTATAATTTTTTTGATAACTAAAGAACACATATTAGATTTTGTCAGGTTTATGGTTTTTGTCTAATGGGTTTTTTTATTCTCGGAACAAAAAATTACAAATTATGTCCACAGAAATTATAATAAACTAAAACTACAATTTTAGTATAAAATATATGCAATAACCGTTGCCTGAAAGAAAACGAAAATCCAAGCACATGAAAATAGCAAATCCCTAATTCTTAAAGAGAACATTGCTAATAAACTTCTTTACTGACAATCAGCATGAACACGTTGAATCCACGGTACCAAACAAAGAAAGAGGAAATTATATTATAGCACTCACGGTCCTTGAATTGTCTTGATCAGTTCTTGTCCTGGTCTCGCTATTTATAGATTGCATATTCGGGCCTCTTAATTTGTCCTAAGTTTTCATCCTATTCCTAGTACTCTTGCAAATTGTACAATCAACTCTCTGAACTTTGTTCAAATTCTCATCCATATCCCGGTACTTATAAATTGCACACTCGGCTCCCTGACCTTATATTATTGTGCCACCCAAGTTCGCCCCGTCTCCCACCTCTCGCATTGCACCATCCTCACGCCGCACGTGATCCACTCACCTGCGCGGTCGTGCCACACTATTCGCTTGTTGCCCTACTGTACATGTACCCACGCTGTCATGATAGATCATGTACCGCTACTGCCACTTTCCTCCATTCCCCTGCAATACATGGTCTAATGCTCGCCATCTCCTCACAACCACTCCCACTACGGGATACTGTAGATTTGCCGAGTGCCAAAAAAACACTCGGCAAACGCTTTGTCGAGTGTAACACTCGGCATACAACACACGGCATTGATTTGTCGGCAAACAGTAGTTTGTCGAGTGTTTTTTATCGGGCACTCATCAAACAGTTTACCGAGTGTCAATAAACACTCGGCAAAAATAAGCTCTCGGCAAAAAAAAATTGACAGGATGGAACGGTGACGTCGATTTTGCCGAGTGCACGATGGAAAAACACTCGGCAAACTTTCTCAAGTTTACCGAGTGTTAAGACGAAAACACTCGGCAAAGTTTAGACACTTTGCCGAGTGCCATGCCTAAAACACTCGCCAAACAAGCGAGCAACGGTCAGATTTTATGGTCACTTTGCCGAGTGTCCATTGGAATACACTCGGTAAAGCCAAAACACTCGGCAAAGAAGGTTCCTAGAATAACAGAAAATGGTCTCTTCGCCGAGCGTTTTGTCTTGACACTCGGCAACTCCTCTCTTTGCCCAGTGTTACACTCGGCAAAGCGACCAAGACTACCCCTTTTTTACTAATCTGTCACATATAACAGACCCCTCTCAATTCACAAAAAACCATGACAATTCACAACAAAACATCATCACAGATATAATTATATGTCACAGGTAATAAACCATCATCATAATTCACAATAAACCATCATCACATGTCATAATAAATCATCATCACAATTTACAATAAACCATCATCACAAGTCACAATAAGCCACAAATGCAAATACAATCATTGCGGAGGCCCTTGGAACCTCTGCGACAAATCCGGGTCTTGAGACTGATTATTTGATGCCGCCGATTGATTCTGCACAAAAGAGAAGTAGTGTTAGCTTCCTTTTTAACAGTGTTAGACTTCATATTGCAAAGTGAATTTCAGTATCGAAAGGTGTGCATCTACAACATACTGTAATTGTAATCACAACATTCAACACTAATGCAACACTTAAATTCGTGCTAAGCAAGTTGCTGCTTCCTGTGCAGTTCATGTGGCAAGTTGATCGCCCTATAACTGATATCCTTGATATTGGAGTGCGTTCATGTGGCAAGTTGCTGCTTCTTGACAGAATGCTCCAACAGATCAAGATTCAAGGTCTTAGAGTTCTTATTCTTTCGCAGGTGAGATGTCCATGGTATCATGCTTCCTGTGCAGTTTGGAATGGAGGGAGTACTACCTAAGCCTGAAATTTTTGCAACCCCTGATTTTTAATTATTTTCCTACCTTATGGCTACCTGTGCAGTTTCTTTCATTTTTCCAAATTTTCCAAGAAGGTATCTAGCTTATGCATACTTAGCATCTAATTTTATTGTCAAATAACTGAGTGATACTGTTTAGTTATCTAACTTGCCTCAGTTACAAAATTAAGAATAACAGAAAAGATGTAGTTGATTTTTAATTATAATTTCACTGCAAGACTCATCCAGTTAGCAGGCCAAAAAAAGACAAGTAACCCAATAATGGCTCATCGACGTCTCAGTTAGCAGGCCTCTTACGCCTCGCCATCACTTGGGCCATGTGCTGCAGCCTGCAGCTGCTGCGGAGTATTCGTTCCAGGAGCTTGAATCGCATACGTGTGCATACATGTGCTGCAGCAACATAGAGCCAATCACGCTGACCTACTCATCTACAGCAACGACTTTGGCCGCCGCAGATCCGATGCAGTCACTGCTGCTAACTGCAAGATAGATATGGAACGGCTTGGATGAGAGCCTCTTTTTTTCTTTACTTTATTCTATCAGCAGCTCTCTTTCTTGGAGGGAAACGGCAACAGGAGAGAAGAGTTTGGCGCTATTTTCTTGCTGGGAAGAGCAAAGCAACTGGACTGGTCATTTGTCTGATGGCCGGAGAAGGAAAATAGTTTAGCCCTCTTGCATTAAGTTTTAGAAAAGGGGAAGCATAGTCTGCTCCAAAATTGGTTCAGGTGCCTGATGAGCAGAGATGTTCAGTCATGACACTTACAGTTCGTGGACTTGATTTCGTTAAGCAATACAAACTCTTTAGTGAGTTTTTATTTAGTGCAAAAGCAAGTTAACTGAGAGTTGGGAGCACCGGCGAAACAAAGTGAATTCGTCAAGTCGCTGTCCCAGTTCGGGAGGCCACCCCATGATTTATTCTAGATCGAGCATATATGTTATTATAATATATATATATATATATATATATATATAGTGTATTCTATACTACAGTATGCATGAGTATGTAAGTATGTAGTAAAAATCATCAACTTGCAAGGTAACCATCCATCTAATATCTTGGTATAAAAAATAATAATAAATAGATCTAACATAAGGTGTCAAGTGACTCACAGGAGTAGTTGTGGGTGGCTAAGATGAAGGGAATAGCGTCCTTCTGCATGTATTGGAATATTTGGTCCATCCTCAACCGATTTTCTTCCTCCATCCTCTGCCGCTCGGCCACCATCCTCGCCTCCATCTCCTCCCGTTGCTTCATTTATGCTTCCACCCAGGCCTATAACATTTCATCCCAATGTTACAATGCAAAGCTAAAGTACGTAACAATAAACGAACGATGAATAAAACAGAAATAACCTGAAGAGCCTCCATCTGGAACTGTGTAGCAGTTGGCTGTGGGCGTATCGCCGGGGTCGCGCTCGTGCTCCTTGCTCGGATCTGGGAGAGAGTGGGAGTAGAGGGCGTGTCGAGTGTACTGTCGCCAATCCAGTACCGGCCATGCTTCTTGCCTCCTCCCACCCTTATCACGATTTCTCCTTCAAGATCCTGGGTACTCGAATCGAACTGTGACCTATGAACCTGCCTTGCCATCGCTGTATACTCACTAACGCGGTTGTGGATGCTGGGATCGCTGTACGCCTCGGGCAGGTCCTCCGGGTTGAAGTCAATGTTTGCCGTCGCCTTGCCCTTTTTGAACAGAACCCATGCCTTCAACTGGGAGCAAGGCTGGCCATCATGTGACGACGACTGCGGCAAAAATGCAAAATGATTAGAAATTATGTAGAATTGAGCGTTAGAATAAAGAAATGAATTCACATACCCATTTTTTCCTATATTCGTCGAGGCTCAGGCTACCTTGATGGTGTGATGCACGTGGCATCAGCAAACGCCTGTCTCGGCAAGCGTTGTGCGTCTCCACCCACCCGGGCTCCAACCACTTGTCCACCATGTATTCCCAGCACTGGACATGCTGGGCGCACTAGTACGGAGGCACCTACGTGATCAAGTGTATGACATATGAAAAAAATAAAATTAAGTGTAACTAATCTCATAAAAAGTAAGTATTAATATTCTATATTTACTTGTAAGAATTGTTCCCGGGTCAGATTTATTGTTCTTGCCCCTTCTTTTTTAACCTTCATCCGTCTGTGTTGAGCGTAGTAGTCGATGATGGCCTGGACGCGCACCTCATAGTGCATGTCCTTCACGAGCTTCTTGGCGGCTTCTTCAGAGATGGAGGCCGCCTTGGCCTCGTACCCCTCCTGGCATCTATAAAAGTCATGCATATAGACGCGATGTATACAGTCATTAC